CTAAATACTATATACATATATACAAACCAAACTGGATTTGTTCCACCTCGGCTGTCTGTGCACTGTATTGTCATCTTATGATATATGTTTTTTTACCGGTTTATATTTCACTGGTTTATTTACCTTTCTTGGGACTAATGCCCTTTCAACTTTCACATCTCACCTATGACGTCATTTTGTTCTCTGCTCACTCTCCAATCAGAATCTGTTACCACCATATTTAAATTTTCACAATTTCCTCTTTTCATAGTCTTGATAAAAGTCCTTCGTGGACTGAAACGTCGACTAGATCATGTTGTATTATTACACGTTTTTGTAATAAATTTAATGTCATTTTTCTAAAAGAAGACCTCTGGAGTGCACTCGTTTTTCTTCGATATTTATTACGGCTGAGGTAGCACCGAGGCAAGTACAAGACCGGCAAATTGAGTGCGGGACTTTCCAGGATTGCATGATTATTACAGGGTCCGTTAAGCCAGGACTCATTCCACGCACCAGACCATAGGAGAGTAATTTTCCACACCAGGATCGTATAGATGGAGGAATTTTTATCTAGAGCAGGAGCTCTGGTGGATCATGCTGAAGTGTTGCAGTTTTCGGAAGCAGAAGCAGCAGCTATACTTTGGCCACAATCTGACTCGGACTTACCTATCTCCTCTGAACCACGGGACATTGTGAGAGATTTGCAGAAATTAAAACAAAGACAAATAGATCTTGAATTACATGCCATCTACTTATCAGACTACTATCGCATGAAAAAAATTCCAAGAGGTTTTCGGATTAAGAACGTTCCGACCATTGGTAGGAATAACCCTGAGGTCTGTCGTAAGTGGATTGGCATATTGAATAAATGTTCCCTAGATCTAATGCTGGTCGTGATTGAGGAGGTAGGTCGAGAATTAAAAATTACTAAGTTTAAAATCTCTGATTTCGAGGTATTACACTCTACTACTATTGCTGCACCTAATTGTGATTTGTTGATCCAAAAACTAACAGAGGATCTGAAACAGTTTAAAAACGACCTTGTTAGGTTTAAGAGAGAAAAATTGTCTAAAGTCCAGGCTGATTATTCTGAACACAGAGTATATCGGTGGTTATCTGGGGATAATTCTAGACCTATGTACAGAACATATAGATCCCGCATTAGAAAACCTATTGCTGCCACTGTAGATTTCACGTCTGGTGAATCAGCATCTGATTCTGACCTAAGGGTCTCACAGAGGGAGAGAACATACTCTAAAGATTCAGAGCACACTGATCCATCTTTTTTAGAACCAGGATTAGGCCTGGTGAGAGAATCACTCGGTGGGAGCCATTTGAATATAGAGCACCCTCCAAACATCATCACTACACCAGGAGGGGGCAGAAAGGGAAGAGGCACTGGTCACAGGGGGCGTCCGCCACGACGACGTTAGATGACCCTATTATCAATTTGTCCTCTAGAACACTTACTATGGCAGAGACTATGTTACTTAAGAGAGGTCTCTCATTTGTGCCTACATCCAGGATGAATAAATTTCAATGGGAAATTGATCAGTTCAAATTTAACAGGAAACT